TAAGACATCTTATCGAGACGAGATGGTGGGAGGGACCAAAATGGTTAAAAGAGACGAAAGAAAGATAATTGCCCAAATCGGAACAGGTTCCTAATGAAGATTTAGTTATGTCAGAAAGAAAAAGAAAAACTGCAATATCATTATTTACCTGTGCAAAAGTAGATCAATTCATGAATTATGAGAGAATTTCGAAATTTTTGCAGATTTGTAAATATTATTGTTGGATGAAAAGATTCATATCCAAATGTAGAAAATAGAAATTATTTTTCCCATCTGAGCTCTCGATCGAAGAAAAGAAAGAGGCAGAGAAGTTCCTTTGGTCAAGAATTCAGTTAGAAAATTTTGGTGATATCTCAGGTACTGTCAAAGGTCTTAATGTTGTGAAAGATCAAAATAACATAATACGAGTTAAAACCAAGTTGTTAGAACGTAATGACGAATTTTCGTTCAAATATCCAATTTTGTTGCTATCAAAACATCACGTAGTAAATTGTTTAATACGAGACTGCCATTTAAAGAACTACTATGCTGGTCTCCAGACTGTTGGTTCCATCCTGCAAGAAAATTTTTGGATTATTTCTGCAAAGCGTAACATCCGAAGTAAATTATCAAAACGCATGAAATGCAAAATTTTTACTCCAAAACCGTTTGTCACTCCGCCTATTCATCTTCCATTTGACCGAGTCAGAGACTCGAAAGTTTTTGAAGTCGTGGGCATCGATTTATGTGGTCCTCTCTTTCTAAAGAACAAAACCAAGGTATGGATTGTCATTTTCACATGCGCTGTGTATCTCGCCGTACACTTGGAATTAGTGACTAATTTGTCAACAGAAGGTTTCATCTATGCCCTCAGGAGATTCATAGCGAGAAGGGGAAGAATTTCAACAATCTACAAGCGACAACGGAACTAACTTCAGGGGTACCAACAACCTTTTGAAATCTTTAAATTGGAGTCAAATAGAAAATTCTGAAGACCTAGCCTCCCATTAAATGGAAGGTTCATTCCTCCAACAGCTGCGTGGGGGGTGGTGGATGGTGGGGAACGGTCATTCGCAGTGTAAAAAATCTTCTTTTAAGAACCACTTGGTAGATCATCACTCAATTTGAAGACCTTTCAACGATATTATGTGAAGTTGAAGCTGTAATGAAATAATCGACCTTACATATATATTTCAGAAGAATCTGACAAATTTATTCCTTTGACTCCATCATCTTTTATTCAAGACATCCAAGAAATTAGGATACCTGATCTAGAGAAAATTAATTTCCAGAAACTTCGAAAAAGATACCGGAAATGCCAAAATTTAAAAGATCAATTGAGAAATAGATTTCGAAAAAAATATTTGGCAAATCTCGTTCAAAAATCAAGAGAAAAGGCTCAAGTGATCCAGACGGGTGATGTAGTACTAACTGAACTAGAGAACCGAAAGAGACTTAACTGGCCAATAGGCAAAGTCACAAAATTGTTTCCAAGTAGAGATGGTTGTACACGTGTGGCAGAGGTAAAACCCTCTTCAGGAACTTTTGTACGACCGATTCGTAAACTTTGCCATTTAGAGATATCTAAGAACGATGACCCAGTAATCCAGCTTATGAACTGTATGAACACTTTTCACAACTCAATTTTAGAACTTTAACTTTTTTTGAGGGCTTGAAATTTTCGTAAATATTAGTTTTATTTCATTCTATTATTTTTGAGTAATGATGTAGATTTAATTTTAATGTTTAAATTCTGGCTTCCACCATAAATTAAAGGTGGGAGTATGTTAAATGCTCATCTAAAGTGTCTTTCTCCCGCTAGATGGCCCCAGATGTTTCATAAGTGAGAGAAATTAAAACTTTTTTTTTTTTTTTTTAATTTCTTTTTTGTAAACAGTAGATAGTTCGGTTTCGAATCCGCGTGATGGACGGATAAATTGATTCGTACAGCCACGAGAGAAAAGTAGAGGCTGTACGAGAAAATGTATTGAAATATAATTTTTTTTTCCTTTTGAATGTTTTATGTAAATAAAATGTTATGTCAAGAAATAGCATTGTGGTTTTTCTGTAAAGAAGATTGCCAGCTGAAACGTCACGTCAGATTCAACAATGCATCAGAACAAGTAAATGATTTTCTTTTTGTTTTTTTAAATGAGTGATACAAATAGAACCTGCATACGTCAGTGGATCAACAGTAGTTGATTAATTACGTAATAACTACGAAGGCATGCTAAGAAGGCGGGAGAAATTCCTTATATACGCCCCTTTTTAAAGGGCAACTGGAGATTAGGGGACACAGTCGCCAAATCCTGGTGGTGGGGATTTATCATTCACCACCTTTTTTAGTTCGGGCGCCACTGTAGAGATATTAAGTATTTTTTGAAAGCAGGAGAGATAAAAAAGGAGCAATGCTTTCTCGAGGACTCGAATCATGGACCTCTCGATTATGCGCCGAGTGGGAAGAAAGCGGAAGAAATATCTTCTAGGGTTACTTTATGAAAGGAAAGATCATCGTTCAAAACGAAACGTTTATGGAGCTAAAATCCAGCAGAATTTCACAGTACATTACGTGAAATTTTTAGCGATCAGGGAGTGGAGAGTAGTACAATAGCTTTTTGGGCTACTTAAGCTTTTCGTAAAAGACATGCCAAGCATACAAGATAATTAAAAGTTAAGAAAATAAAAAATATCAGTTGATTAAAGAATTGAAATGCAGGCATCGTTTCAACACTCTGAAGCCAAAATTTTTAGAAACACCAGGTGACACCGGCGCTAACCTAATGCGATATTTGTAGAAGGCTGAAAAGAAAATGTTCGTCAAGCAAGATGCGAGAAAAAATCACGAGCTAAAGTGATTTCTTTATACTTAATATTTTGACAGAAGATGTATATTAGAAAAAGAAGTTTGTGTCCGGATGGTCACTCATTGCTTAATGCAACATAACCGAAACGAAAATTTGGTGACAAAGATGAAATATTTCTATTGCGAATAACGGCAAATGACAAATCCTGAATTAAAAATTCTGACAAGAATTGAAATCGTCGGCAGTCAGGGGAGATCATTCTCTCTGCCACTCCAAACATTTCACTATGCTGAGCCGTTGGTTACGTAAATAGTCTTCAGATATAGGTACGTCTTTCCCTGGAATTATCAAGGCATTACTGCGAAAAATTCGAAATGTGGAAAAAAAAAAAATGTGTTTCATGTGTTAAAAGTGTAATTCAGCATTTTCATGTGAGTGATAGCAAAAAAATGTGAAGAAAATTGCATAAAAATGATCTAACCTGTTTAAGGACGGGAAATTAATTTCAAAGGACGCCTGGAAAAGGACAAAGTGATAAATCCCTAGATTTCAGATTCTTCCCCAAATTAAAATAGCTCCCACGTGGGCAGCGATTTGCCTCAATAAAAGAGGTTTTTTTTCAGTAGTTAGCTAAGTTATTCAAAGACTAAATGAAAATAGTATCCTAGGAGGAATAGCAAATCTTCCAAGACAATGGATCACGAATGACGTTGTGAAGCCAGAAGTTTACACACAAAAAATGTAAGCAGGAAATGCTTGAAATAAAATTAAACTGAGAAAAAAAAAATCAGCATTACTTTTAAATTGCCATAGTTTTCGTACATTTCGTAATATTCCGATGCCCATTACCTGCTCTAAAAAACAGTGATAACTTTAACAGTGTTTGGCAGAAATCGAAATATTTGCAATTATGTTTGTTATTTTGACGACAAACTTTCGACGGACAGTTTGAAATCAATTAAATTGTTACTTATATAACGTAATTCAAGAAATCAAATAAAGAAACTCGTCATTACACGATTTCTAATTCGGAATGCAATTATATATCGAAAATTAAGCTAATGTTTGTTAACAGCAAATCGCATTTAAAGGAACAAAAAGCCGCAAGTTCGCGGGCTGCAGTTTAATTGTCGGAGAGTCGCAGTTTGCCGATGCCTGGTCTGTAACTTCAGGTTTTTATATTTTAGACTGTTTTCGAAAAGTATCTAATAAGTTTTTGGGAGGTCCCTGCATGTAAAATTATTCTTTTAAAATATATGTCATTATTTGCACAAAATTTCAGGTTCAAATAGTTCTTTCAGTCTAGTTAATAGAAAATACTGGTGGAAATGATTATTAATACACCTCAACTTGCTCTTTGTAATATATCGTCTGTTTTTTAAAGAAATTCAAATGGTATTTGTTTTTTGGTATCAGTATTAGAAGTTTAATATTAGGAATTCAGAATCTGAATACTGAGATGAATTAAAGTTTTCTTCTCTTCATTCAACTATCGTAGGAGAAATTTTTGAGAAAAATGATGTAAATATCATTTAATCATTCACCTTGTTTACAGATTTGAATATCTGTGAACAACTTTCACAACACCAATCATTTAGGAAAACATAACGTAAGTGTAAATATTCTAAAAACAACTTCTATAAATATCATGAAGCTCTGTGGGCGCATGCAAAGATGGTAACATTGCAAGGAAGCTATGTAGAAGGCAAAATAATAATACTATTGTTTCCTTAGTTCCATTTTTTTATATAAATTTAGTCTTTTTTGAAAACATTGTGTAATTTTCATTCGATTCACATTTCTCATTTTTTAAACTATATTGTTTTTTGTATGGTTAAATAATATTTTGAAATTTATGTATGTTTTGTTTTCTTTCTGATATTAAAGTCGACATATTTAATTTAAACCAAAACATAAATCTAACTGCGATTTCTCTTTCTATGCAAAGAATAAAAGAAAATTAATGATTTCATGAGTAGGATTCCTCCGATGCCTTTTTAGCTACGTATCTTGGTGTAATTTTTTTATATCGCCAATAAACTAGTGAAGATGTTGTCTAAGCCTGAGTTATCATGGAATTTGAAGTTATTACTCAAAAACATAATACACCTTATTGCCCCTAGATGGCGCAACCTTTTTTTTTTTTTTATTTTTTTTTAGGAAATAAAAACCACAACTAACCCTTTACAAAGCGAACGAGACTTCAGTAGTCGCTAAACGAGTTCAAACGCTCTCCGCGGAGATTTGAAGGAGCTAGTGCTCTCCTTGTCTTCATCAATGAAATCTCACCTTGTTTATAGCATTATTAGAACCTCCTACCAAGACATTTCCAATGAGTTTCTATGACCTTCGACTATCCGATGTTACTTCTTTGTTCTATCACTGTCAATAGGTGAGTGAGGTTTTTCTAGAATTATTTTTGATTACGCTATATTAATTATAAAGCTATAAAATACTTCAAGGATTTGTGTATGTGATTTTTAAACTGAGGTGTTTTGAATTGAAATATCAAAAGGAAAGATAGGATAATGCAGTTATTTTGGAACATATGGACTGTACTCACGGTTGTGTGTAAAAGAAGACATAAAGGAAGCATTGGCTATTAAGCAAGTTTAATTTGTTTAAATAAATGCTTTTAAAAACTTTATTTTCACTTCGCATGGCTGACGATGTGTAAGAGATTCGCAAAAATAATTTTGTTGAGAACAAAAAAAAAAAAAAAAAAAAAAAAAAAAAAAAAAAAAAAAAAAAGATCCAAATTAATAGTAGAATTACGGTGCTTTATGTAAAATATTTTAAGTGTTTTTCGTAAAGAACTGAGATCTTTGAAGAATATTTAGAATGTATAAGAGGAAACCTCGAAAGAAAACATCTAATAATTGGCAAATTAATAAATTATTTTCTGTATACATATTTTTTTAACATTTTAAATTAATAGCTACTGCTTAGAGATAATACTAATGCTTCTTGAATCAAAATGAATTTTGCACATACAGTAATACGAAAGTATAAGGGGGAGGGGAATTAAAAGAAATATGAAGGTCTTCAAATTTTATATTGCGCCCAAAGCGGCTTTTTTTTTTTTTTTTTTTTTTTTTTAATGTTCAGTGGGTTACCTTTATTTATTAATTATCATATTCTACCCACTTGAACCATAAAATTAAATTCAACAGCATTATCGCAAAATATTTAAAAACAGCATATCTTTAGAATTCTTTACACAGCCTCGCGCGCTGGAGATAATTTTGCCCCCCCGTACAGTTTTGCTATTGCTTGCTTTCAAATCGTTGACTTTGTTAATAAAAAATTCGCTAAAGTTTTGCAAAATATGAAGAGATATTAAACAAATTCCAAATCCCAAATTTGGGCCTCCAGATGCCCATATTCGAGAGCAGGACTACATTGTTCAAAATTTGATGTCTCTAGGTACCGTTGCTTATTCACAATGCGAGAGACATATGTACATTCATGCAAATTCTTTATTATTTAATTCCTTTAAGTATAACGCAGGGCTGTAATATTTGGTGGTAACAATTTGAAAAATGATTCAGATTTTTAGAGTGAACTAAAGCAAAATGCTAAAATGCCCTTCTGTGCAAATGGCCTCTTTGGGCTAATAATCTTGATCATTGGATTAAGATTAAATTTTGAGAAGTATTAAAATTGAATAACCTAAGATAAATCTAAGTTCGAACCTTAATCTACTACTTCAAATGTAGGGTTTATTTATTCGTTTGTTATAGTAGCATCAGAAACCAAACTTCTCAGGTGCTGCGGAATATTTTCTGATTTTAGAGTAAAATCTAACTTCAGAATAAGTCCCGGATTCTGTAAACAATTATATAATAAATATATCCGAATTTTAATTATACATATTTTTATGTAGTTATAAAAATAATTTTTGGGGATCAAAATAGAAAACAATTGTTAAAAAATCCTAGGCTTTAGTTACTACATATTTTAGGACATTCTTGTCTTCCACGAAAAGAATAATCTGTAAAAGAAGGTTTGGCTTTCTTTACAATAGACATGATAATTAAACATCAGAAGAATTTTAAATGGATCTCTTTTAAAAAATAGTACAGATGGAAAAAGAGAGAAAAACTCACCTTTTGTACGGCAATATTTAGACAAAGGAGCGTTAAATGATAACATATTATTCAACGAACTATCGTACTATTTTGAAATATGAGCATCGGCTGAAAAAATTAAACAGTGGTATGAATATAAAATTTAAATAGAGATGAAATACATTAGGATTTTTTCCATTTTCAATATAATAAAATTTCTTTCAAATCGGTACCATTAGTAATTGAATTATTGTACTTCTTAGGAATTAGTCCAAGAAAAGAAGGTGTATTTCGGCAGTAAATAATCAGGTGAAAAAGGAAAAAACAATTACCTCGCTGAAGTCTGTGATAATTATAAAATTATGTATTGTAACACTGATCATCCTCGAGTAGATTTCATTCCACTAAAAAATACTTCAACGAATAATAAGCGGTTAAGTAAAATGTTTTAGAGTGCAAACGTTTTTTTTTTGGGGGGGGGGAATGCGTGATTGTTATCTTGCGTGATGAAGCTTTGAAGGAATGAAAATTCTTTTTTATTAGTGAAAAATTTTTTAACAAAATCTGCTTCGGAAAAATTTTAATCATTTATTGATTTCGTTTGATATAAAACGAAACATTTCTCGAAAAAATCACACTGAAGCTGTCAAAAAAAGCATAGTCTATAAATTAGATGTTGTCTAAAGATGGAATAATTGCTATGATTATAAGTGTAGTTACCTGTTTATGTATCATTAAAGTAAGCGGTGTAGGAATCTTTAAATAAATTTAATTTATTTCAGCAAATTAAACCATTTTTAAAGCATTATTGATTTTATTTCCACAATTCACGTTGATAAAATTGATTCGATATAAAATAATGCTAAGAGATTAATTTTACCGTGGCTGCTTAGTAAACCCTGATATTTATCCATATTTTTTTGCACTTATAAATAGTAAATACTTTTGCTAGAAATTCTGCCACCTGACATTGATAAATACTGTGATATAGAGGTAAATTCTGATACCGAACTTACCTACATCCAGATTTTTTGAATTATGCAGTAAATTTTACATTAAAAACGATATGTTAAATCAACTATAACTTCATAAGCTTCATATGTTATATTATTCTTAAGTGTTAGTGTCTATACATAAGAACATTGGGCTTGAAATGCGTGATCTCTTTCGAACGTTTGAAGAGGTTAATACCCAAAATCATAGTCCAAACACCTTGTGGTCAAGGCCGTCTTTAACAAATGGGCCTGCTAGGCATTTGTCCGTTGGCCTCATGAGCATAGGGCCCCCATACTAAACACTTTATATTTCACTTACATTTCTTTACTGTGAGTGGTTGTCGTAGGGGCCCCAGCACTCTGGTTTGCGCAGGGACCCACAGTGCTGTTAGGACGGAACTGCTTGTGCTAGCTAGTTATTCAAATCACGCATCCAGTCCATCATGCTTAGGAACTGACAGCTAGATAAGTAAGAAAATTTCAACCCAATCTCTAGTGTTATTCTTAATGTCCTTCCATCCCCCTCTTAAATTTAGTGCAAGAAGATCATTTACATAGTGACATCACAGTGCCTCTGCACTGCGTCGCAGATGTTATCATCTTCACCTATACATCATAAGCTTTCTCCTATATGGTTACCATGTTTACTTCAATGTAAATTTATAGATAACAATTGCTTTTCTCTATGGCTGCTGTAGAGGTTTTTAATGTAAATTTAATAACAATTGTAATAATAAACTAGGCTGATACATTTTACTTTTTGTCTAAACTTGGTGTTTTATGACTATGACAATTATCTCAAAATCTACTGAAATGTTATAACGTTTTTGGAGTACTTTTCTAGAAATGAAATGGAAGTAAGAAAAATTTTCTGGTCTTTGTTAAGAAACAATAAATTTTTGGAAAAATATTAGTATTTATTTCTAAGATCAGTTCGGTAATTTTTAAGAATGGTAAAAGGTATTGTAGTACTATGTGTTGATATTTAATTTTATTTTTTAAACATTATATTTTATTTTACGAACAAAACGTGTTTTAAATGGTAAATCATTCTGCTAGCTATTGCAGAAAAGGAATGTGTCTTCGCCATATTAAATGGTATTTATTGCATTTATATGGCATTCATAGTATTTAAGATAACATATATCGATACTGAATGAATAACTTACGTTAGCCGCATCAGCACCTTTTTCCCGTATACAAATAAGCTGAACACTAGCCAGTGACATAATTTTCGGAAAACTGCGTTCTTTAAGTTTTGGAGGAAAGTTTCTAGAATTATTAGACTTTGTGCAAGCAAGGAATCTTGAAAAATGAGTTGTGTCTTCGCCGGGAATTGAAGTTACCTTTTATTAGAGCAAATTATGCCACCCGTTACGCCACAAGGGCAAAATCATACCCTCGGCTACTTGCGGGTGGTAAAACTAAGCCAAATTTAAACAGTTCACGAATATATATATAAGTAATAGATTCTGTAGTAGAACGCAGGCGGTTGAATCCGTAATGAACAGCAAGAATTTTGTTGGCTTAAAGATGTTGAACTCCAATCCACAATGAATAAGAAATTTGGTAGTCGAGGTAGAATTAATTCAACTTTATTTCCAAACATGTTGGGCCCAAACAAGTGGCATATTATTTATGCCGATTCCGAACGTTACAGTTTTCATAATTTGCAGTAAGAAAGAGACAGACAGACAGCAGTCACTAGGCCAAGCTTCGAAGTGCGTAAGGTAAGCGTGAAATCTTAATCAACGGTTAGTTTGGCTCAAAACAGTCGATTTGATAATTATACTGCTGAAAATACATTGCGTGAGTTTTATTCCACTTCATCTCAGAATACGCGATGTAAGAGTCAAGACTGGGATTAATCTCGAATGACGCAGGCAGAGAAATACTATTTTAAAAGGGAAGGAAATTAGTACGCTGCTAATAATCTTGGTGCTCTTTGGTAGACGCTGCAAGGATTTGGCGATTTTTTTGGCGAGTAATACGCCTTATGTTAAACCCTTGTGATAAGTTTTTATGGTAACCAACGTTCATTTTAGTAAAAAACAATCGTGTGTTCTGCATAAACAGGTTTTAAATATGATTCAAGCTTCTAAATATTAAAATCATTCATTGCTTTTTTTAAATAAAAATGTAGTGTTTAGATATTTATGAATTATGTGGATGATGATGACTCATCTTTTAAAAGTAATAGTTTACTTCTATAAATTAATCAATATTTTAAATATTGAGGCTGTTAATATTAAATAAAATTTAATTTTATTTAAAAAATGATTATTATGAATGATATTAAAGAATTTTAATCTATGCGTGTGAATAGC